AAACGCCCGTCAAGTGCCTCCAGGTTTTCCGTGATGGTATAGCTTCAAATGACTCATGAATTCGACTATTGAATTACTATAACATTTTTTGTGACGGCATAACTCGTATTTGAGGATCTCGGTTTTTCCCATGAGCATGTACCGATTCAGAGGCTATCGCTACGCTAGTTGTCTTCAACTACATCCGTCAGTATGTATGGGATAGGAGAGCTAGGTCATCAGTGAAGTCCACACCGCCCAGTCGTACCTAGCTGTCCATTGTATTCAGGGCTTCCCCTGAGATGTGGAGTAGATGTATAGACGAATTAAATTAACACTTTAGACAGTACAATTTAAAATCGTAAAATATAACGAAAAGCATATATTTATTACCATCGTTTGTACAAAAATACCTTCCTTATATAAAAAATGTCTACATCTTGCTCCAGTAGATTTAAAGTGACCTTTGTAGTGTCAGTTATTATGGCAAGCCCATATGCCTTTATTCTAACTTCCGGACATCATATTTTATTCATTTTACTTGAGCCATATTTTGACCTTGTCACTTATTCGCCTTGACTGCTTTCACATGAGCGCATATGTGTGTACACTTCATATCCCTTGATTCATCACATGTCTGTAGTTTATTTTGTCTGCCTATAAATACTGAGTAACGCTTAATTAAAATGGAGTTGGCTTCCCAGCCATCTTCCCTCCGCGTCATTTCGCTTTGTTCTATCGCATTCACTTTACATACAAAATATATGTATTCAATGGCCATTCTCGTTAATTGACTTATTTAATTCCGTTATGGACTAACGCGATTTAAGTCGATGAAGATATACGAGAATAGGTGATAACAAACATTCGTACAATCTAAATGGAGTCAGATCAACGGGCCACAAAAGTGGTGAGCCCGCCGACGACGAACGCAACGCAGCAAGCTACGTCGATGAAGAGATTTCTGCACTTGATACATTCGACGAACGCACTCAACGGGTCCAGCTCAATCTCTAATCCAACGCACTCAGCAAAGCCTGTGCAACACGACATGGACATGCACAAATCTTATTATCTTAACGTTACTTTGTCCTCATGTCAATTATCCTCATTGATCCATTCGTCGGTTTGTTCAATTACGATTCAATTTATCATTATATGCTTATTATTACATTATTGCCAATATCATGACCGAATGTGGAATTATTAATCTTGTTCGTGCTGTCATTAACTTATGACATTTTCGCAATCATATCACCCACCGAACAAATTATCATTTTATGAAAATTCCACTCCATGTAATGACATTCAGAACTCATTGGAATATTTCTATTCAAAAACGTGAAATTTTCCTGCTTTAAGTGAGTTCGTTCCAATTTTTCATGTCATTTTGATCTAATATTGCATTCATTCACTTAGTCGAGGTCCGCAATTTATGTTATCACAACATACATTTTTCATTTCGAAATCGCCTCCTATTATGTCTGTGGATGCTTCTGACTAGCTGATTAGTAACCATTACGCTCATTTTATCTATTCTTCCACGTGCGTAACTACATGCTGCATCACTTATCACTCAAAAACGCTATTCGAGTACTGTAATTACTATTCTATACCCATCGCTCGGTATATCAGAACATAGAGTTTAGAGCTAGCCTCTCAAAGATACACTCTTGTTCGTCACATCCAAGTCAGTCTCATACGTCGCCATCACTAATCATATGTATTGGTATTTTTGTCATGCCTTGGTACGGTTTTGTAACAAACGAGATCGAGCGCATCTCCCTCAAGTCACACAAACCACTCTAGGCTTCATGACCAAAAAGGAATACGACTCGACGTACCTTATCTACTCAGTCACTTTTATGTTCCTCTGGTCATTCTACTAATACATATTTGACGATAACTCAATGCATCTGTCATAACGCAGACGACAACGTTCACTGACTTCATATTTTATGATTATTATCAATTGCAGTGGAGCAACGAATATCACCCGTCGATGCACATATCATTTCACGACTTTTCTTTTATCATTCTACGCATTTAAATTCGAATTCACTCATCACTAGTCAATGCGATTTATTCTGCTGCGGCTCAACAGAACATATATTTCGCATATTTCACTATTTTGTCAGCAGCACAGACCAATTTCTGTCGTATTCTACTCTACTTATTTTCACGATTTGTTTCGCTGTCATACCCACAAACAATTTATCACTACTTTCACAATATTTTGAATCGCTCATACGAACGTGTTATTTTATTGTTCAGACAATCACAGCATTAGTACATGTAAATTTTTTGTACGCTCATTAATTTGCTCATATTCGCATATTAACGTTTCCATTTTTGTCCGCGCCTTTTCTATGTTCATGTATTCTTTTACATAAGTATGACATTTTCATATAATACGCTCACCCCTCATGTGACACTGTACTTTATCGAGTGTTGTACAATTTTTTTTGGCTACTTATTGTTAACGTTAGCTTCATATCACTTCAGTGTTATTTTCGAAAACAGACATTTTTTAAATGTGCTATTTTCTACAAGGGGGCTATGTAGTGTCAGTTATTATGGCAAGCCCATATGCCTTTATTCTAACTTCCGGACATCATATTTTATTCATTTTACTTGAGCCATATTTTGACCTTGTCACTTATTCGCCTTGACTGCTTTCACATGAGCGCATATGTGTGTACACTTCATATCCCTTGATTCATCACATGTCTGTAGTTTATTTTGTCTGCCTATAAATACTGAGTAACGCTTAATTAAAATGGAGTTGGCTTCCCAGCCATCTTCCCTCCGCGTCATTTCGCTTTGTTCTATCGCATTCACTTTACATACAAAATATATGTATTCAATGGCCATTCTCGTTAATTGACTTATTTAATTCCGTTATGGACTAACGCGATTTAAGTCGATGAAGATATACGAGAATAGGTGATAACAAACATTCGTACAATCTAAATGGAGTCAGATCAACGGGCCACTAAACCTTCTTATTTAATGACTTTTTTGTAACGACATATTAAGGACCAGAATTTTTATCTTATTTGTGACACTTGATGTATAATTTCATTTAGATTCAAAATACGTTGTTTCTCTGTACATGGTGGACATATTTGTTTGGTACTACTGATACATACACTACCGCTATTATTAAAAATAAACGCTATCGTAGTCTGTTCTTCGCCTTATTGGCCATGGCATATATTCGAAGATAATAATGATATCATAACATCTCTTCAGGCCGTTCTACGTTGCGTTGGAGTTTTCCCGGATTATTATTATTAAATACTATCGGATATATCTCTTACCACGCCATTGGTGCTACCACGCAGAGGAACCATCGTTAATCAAGTGAACCCATTTGTGGTTGTTATCTCAGAAATAACTTACAAGTAACGTTCATTTCATAGCAATTGCTGTCACATTGTTGTTCAATTTACCCCTTCGTTGTGTTATTATTACCGTTTCGCTTTAGTCATAAACAGACAATTTGGTTTGTGGTATTAATTCCTTTTGGTATATCATTAGTAACTGTGCATATGGTTGTCTTGACTAAACCCAAGTCACCACATCTCACCAAGCCAGTGGGGCAAAACTTACCAGCCTTAATACCAAAGAAGCAGTAGTATCAGCGATAGTAAAAGGGTTATAGCACAGAATCTAATTCATGCAATAAGAGGTGTAAAGTAACTTTGAAAACAGGTTGTCTGTTCCTACCAGTAACTTTACAAACTGACTACATGCTTTGGTTTGAGTGCTCATAGGTTTTGCATACCTTGTGTAATGCTCCAGGTATATTTATCAAATGGGTGATAACACAAATCAAGTGACTTGTGTGGCGCATATTTATTCGGTGCTCCATTGTACCAATATTTATGTGCTCAAATAAAAAAGACAACTTCCAAAGTTACTAATCTTTAGTTTACTGGGGTTTTAATTCAGAGCCTTGTGCTCTATGCAAAAATAACAGGCAGGTCACAAACCCAGTTACTTACCATATGACTGATATTAATGTTTTGAGAGGTCCTGTACTGATTGGTTGCATCTCTTATGTCTATGCTAATGTCAGCTCTCAGCACTGAAGGATTTGCTGCTCAATCGTTTGAATAGCTAATGACGCTTCCTTTTCAGTTAATAAGTGATGGAAGGTTGGGTGGCCTGTTAGTTTTGAGAAGGCTGGCCGCGGTCCAATTTCTCGTTGAAAAGATTAATACCGAGCTTCAGTTACGCGTAGATCTAACGAGTTTTATTTGTTGATGATTTGATGGGAGAGTCTGTCAGTTTAATATTAATTTGTTCTTGGCTTGTGAAACGTTTTAGTGTCCTCATAAATTCTTTGCTTTGAAAGACAAGAATAATGAGGTTATATCAGATGCGAATTTATTGTTAACTAGTTTAAAAACGTTAATGAATCTGTACCTTGGTGAGCAGTATGCATCATTATATGCTTAGAGGCACTTATCGGCAACTGCCGCATTGTAAATATTTGATGGGATCATGAAGTACTGCAAACTAAGTGAGGGATTTGGTTTAAACCCTTTAAAGAGGACAAGAGATTTTTAGTGAGACATTCATCAGAAGATTTGGGTGGCAGTTATCTCTGTGGCTTCTGTTTCTACAATCTTATTTCAGAAAATCACTCGGGACCAGTTTAAGATTTTGTGGACATAACAGAAGTAGTTTCGATCATAACATTAGATTGACTTAAATGTTCGATTGTATGCTCACAAATTTGGTGTACATTCAAGCTGAACACAATCCAAAAACACCTACAATCCTACCGGGGTAAAATTAGATAACATATTATATTGCCGAAAACAAATTGTTTCACTAAAGGTCTTAAAATATCCAATTCACTGTCGACACTGTCGGGATAATGCTAATATTATAAAGTGTACATTGGTTGTTCGCTTAGTAGTAAGTAACTTAAAAAATGTTTCGTTCGCTATTAATTTGGCTCTATTTGTGACTTTCTTTCTTAAGGTATTAGACATAGTTTTCCCCGAATGGCAACTGTCGGTTGTTCCAACGCCAGTGACATATGTAGTGATTTCAATGAGATAAATGGCGATCCACACAGAATTTGGCTAGGGTGTCTCCCGACACGTATTACGGAATTTGCGGTTTTGCAGCTAGCTAAACAATTCGGAGAATTATCCGATTTCCATTTTCCTGTGCATAAGACTGGTGATCTGCAAGGATCTACAGTTGGTTATTGTTTTTTGACATACAGGTCGGTGGATGATGCTAAGAAAGCTTGGAAAGTGTAAGTTTGTTTCATTTCATTTAGGTTGATTGCATCTAGTGTTGTTTACCTTATAATAAGTTTATATCTGGTGAAATAAAGTTGCTTGTTTAGACCCCGTTTCACCTACTTCTATCTGTATAGTTGTGTTTGTTCTTCGTCCATGTGAGTCGTTCACAGTTATACAGGTGCGGATACCCTCTATCTTCCTCCTTACCATGAATATTATCAGGGCACGTTGATATGTTAGTAACTAAATTAGTAAACCTGTACTAGTTCCATGTTTTGTTTTTACCTTTTGTGACTTATGTAATCTAAAGTTGTCCTTAAAACCCCATAAATATAGTCGTTAAAACGTTTTGACAATATCTTTTTGTGGTCGTTTAGTGATCTATGATCTTTCGCATAGTATCGCCCTTTTAAACCCAAAAGATGCCAATGTTGGTCAAAAGCTTGGATAGTTCCATCCAAACACACTAAAATGCATTACATGTAGAATTTAGGTTGTGGTGAAATTTTACAATAGGTCATTAACGGAAATCTTGTAGTGACCCTTATACACTTGATTTGCAAACTAGGTCAAATCCACAGTCGCATCGGAATTATGTGAACTATTTCGTGACTTTTCTGACCTTTACATATCGTACTCTTACTGATTGTATTGTATTGTAGTGTCTAGCACTACCCAGCCCACATGAGTTATTCTAGCTTCCGGACAGATCAACTTGTTTATTCTTCTTGAGCCACATTTTGTCCTTGTCAATTATTCACTTATTAACCCTGAATGTTTTTAGATGACCGTATGCTTTAATCTCCTACTCTTTATCACCTGTCCTAAGCTTTTTCGTGTATGGCTATAAATGTTGAGTCACACTAACTAGAGGGGATTGGCACACTTGCCTTCTCCGAGCCTTACTGATTGTCTGTCTGGATCCATAAATGCATGAAATGTGTGTCAATGATTCATTCTTGTATTCGAATTATTTTATTCCGTTATTCTCTAACGCGAATTCAGTCGGTAATTATTAAACAAGGGTTAGCTGCATGTTCGACAGATATTGTAGTACTAGCCAGAGACTTGGATGCTCAGGTCGGGCGCCTAGGCACAGAAAAGAATAGTTTAGGTGGCCGACGGGGACTTGTTGTTCTCAGGATAGATAACAGGGACCGTCTACTGCAACTGTGCACAGACCACAACCTGTTTCTGGCTAGCACTAACTTTCGGCACAGTCATCGCCGATATGCCACCTGGCGTCCTTTCTCTGCATCTCAAGCCTGGACTCAAATTGATCACATCGCAATCAGCTACCGCCGGCGTGGTTGTGTACAGGACTGCCGCTCCTTTTGGAGTACCTATCTGGACTCTAATCATGCCCTGGTCTGCGCCAACCTTACCTTACTTTTCAGTGGCCAACGAAGTGACCGCCACCAAAGGATTGATGTCAGAAAGTTGTTTGCAACTTCATGACGCCATCAAAATGGCGAGTAAAGCCGCTTGCGGCTTCGTGAACGTCTCACTTACAAGCACTGGGTTTCTTCAGGCTCTTTACAACTCATCGAAGCCCGTCAGTCTATTCTGGGTGACCGTGAGTTTGACCATAAACAAAGGCTGTTGTGTAATAAAATCGGGCAAAGCTTGCGTAAGGACCGAGAAGCCTGGTGGTCGGAGCGTGCTAATGAACTGGAAGCAGCAGCTGCATCTGGTAACTACCGGAAGCTCTTCCAACTCATCCGAGCCACTGGCAGCAAGAAGTTTGGTGTGAGCGAAACAATCTGTGAGGATGACGAGATGCCAATCACTAACGTCCATCGACGTCTTGGACGGTAGGCAGAATTTTTCGAAGGGCAGTTCAACTGTCCTGCTGCTCCGGCAACGTCGGTCAGATTGTCCTATCCTCCATGGCCGATGACGACTGATCCACCAAATGAGGCGGAAGTCCAGAAGGAACTCCAACTCTTGAAGCGCTACAAATCACCGGGCCCAGATGACTTACCTCCGGCTCTTTTTGAAGATGGTGGTGACATTCTGACTAAGGAACTGACGACGTTGTTTACAAAGGTCTGGGAGCTAGAGAGTGTACCAACGTCATGGAATGAGTCGATAGTTGTCCCTATCTTTAAAAAGGGTTCACATCGTCCCTGTAACAACTATCGGGGGACAAGTCCACTTCCGATTGCGTCCAAGCTATTGGCTTCTGTCATGCATCGTAGATTGTTCAAAACCCGAGAAAGATTGACTCGCGAGGATCAGGTTGGTTTTCGTTCTGGTCGAGGATGTATTGATCATATCTTCACCCTCCGCTAAATGTTAGGACACCGTCATACTTATCACAGGCCAACAATCGTAGTGTTTCTTGACATTAGGGCTACCTTCGATTCGTTGGACAGGACTGTTCTCTGAGATTGTCTAATGAAGAAGGATGTGCCTGAGAAGTTTATTAACATCCTAAAAGCTCTATATACAAACACCTCAGGCAGAGTGAGGGCATACAACCACCTCTCTCTATTGTCCCATTCGAGCAGCGGGGTTAGGCAGAGTTGCCCAATCTCACCATTCCTCTTCAACTTTGCCATCGATGACATTCTGGAAACAGCTCTGATGGATGTCAGTAATGGTGGTGTGGATCTGTTGCCTGGAGAAAGACTTCTCGACCTTGAGTATGCGGATGATATTGTCTTGCTGTGCGATAATGCCCAAGCCATGCTATTCGCACTTAATAGGTTGGCAATCAGTGTCCGTAAGTATGGTATGTGCTTTGCACCTTCGAAGTGCGAAGTACTTCTACAAGACTGGCAGGATCCTAATCCTGTAGTCACCCTGGATGATGAGCAAATAGAAGTAGTCGAGAAGTTCGTGTATCTGGGTAGCTGCATAAGTGCTGGTGGGTGTGTAAGTGATGAAATCAATGCATGTATTGTGAAAGCCAGAGCGGCTTATGTCGATCTGGGCCATCTTTGGCGCCTTCGTGATGTCAGTCTGGTTGTAAAAGGTCGGATCTACAACGTGTCGATGAGAGCAGTTCTGCTCTATGCTTGTGAAACCTGGCCTCTCCGAGTTGAGTATGTTAGACGACTCTGTGTTTGATCATCGTTTTCTCCGAAGGATTGCTGGCATCCAGTGGCGACACCATGTTAGTAATGCAGAAGTTCGGCATCGTGTGTTCGGGCGCAGAGATGATAATCCAGTTGGTGTCACCATCTTGAAACATCGACTTCGGTGGCCTGGACATGTTCTACGAATGTCGTCCCAGAGAATTCCACGTCGTGCATTATTTGCCGACTCTGGGACTGGTTGGAAGAAGCGGAGAGGTAGTCAGTGTATGACATGGTGTCGTGGTATGAAGGAAGGCTGCAAAGAGCTGGCTTCTGTTGGTCCTTCACGACCCCCTGACTGGGGTCCGAGAGATGGTGCAACACAGTGTCTAGAGACGTTATCAGATATGGCTCAAAATAGAAGCCAGCGGCGATCCCGCTGTAACCTTATTTTAGTTTCTTCATAAAAGTGGTTGTATCTTCCTTAAATGAAAAATTTCTTCTGGTTGTACCTTTCCGTTTCCCCCATTATTATTATTATTATTATTATTATTATTATTATTATTATTATTATTATTATTATTATTATTATTATTATTATTATTATTATTATTATGTTACACTACCTTACACTAATCTGGTCGTTATTCTTCTTTTTTTACGCTCCCTACCTCCCTCTTTTTTTCTCTTCCTATTCTCATTGTTTTGTGTGGCGCATATATATTTGGTGCCCCCTTGTACTAATATTTATGTGTTCAAATACATAAATAATAGCTGCATGTATTTTTCCTTAACATTTTCATACGACCAAACCGGAATCAGATCAACGGGTCACAAAAGTATGTGCCCATGTATGTGTGATTGTTTGTATATGTTATCTTTATTCTATTGCATTATTGACTATAAACTTAATCGACCAATAATTTGTTGTACACATATTGATATTTAAGAACGCTGAGCACTAGTCATCTTAAAATATTTAGTGTCGGTAGAGTGTAAATGGTGATTGTGAACACTATTCTGTCTGTAAATTTGCTTACTTACGCCAGTTGCCACTCGTGAAGGTAAAAAATGGGCGCTTTTGGCACAAAAACGAGGAATTCAAATTTCAAAAATAAAATTACAAAAACAAGACATTTAACAACTGAGTTCTGGATATTTAATATCCCAACCACTTAGTAATGTAATTAATTTATTTTCTCAAGTGTTTCTTCTTCATAGGTTGGATGGTTTGAATTTTCATGGATATACTTTGGTTGCTAGACCGGCTCGGCCAACTCGAGACGAATTGACCGTTGCACAACGCTCATATGATGAAGCTTCCAGACTTAGAATAATGGAAGAAACTATACAACGTGAAGCTCAACTAGCAGCTGTGATGGCCATGTGTGATTCTTCAAGTGTTTTATCTAGTCGTACTGAAGACCCGTTTAGTGGAACAATTTCTGACGAACAGCTATATCCGTACGTTAGTAATATTATAGAATAGCTTTATTCGCTCAGTTTTCCTATAGATGTTTATTATATCGGTCAAAATGTATAAAAATACTCTAGTAATATTCAAAGAAGAATCAATTTGACTAATTTGTCTAATTTATTAGTTCAAATACTCATCTACTAGGGTTTAAGATCTGAATGTGGACGTGTATATCAACTGTTCATCCTTTAAAATTTTGAACATTAAAAATTTTTCTGACGTTAGATTTCTTGACTTAAAGGTTGATCATCAGTTTTTCTAGTAAAATATTTCAGAAAACTATGGTATTGTTCAGAACAACAAATAAACCACCCTCTTCAATAAGCACAACATAAACGTATATAACTTTTTAAATGTTTCGAGCTTTTAACAAACTTTCATCTAAACTAACCACACTCGTTTATGTTTGTTAGAGCTCTCTCTCCCGACCAAGAGATGTAGTCGTCAGAACCTTATCACTATGCCACCTTCATTTTGAGTGGACTCATAGAATCTGTTGTTAAAACCCACTTACGTCAGACCGACTGGTAGAACTGCATATTACAGTGTGCAATAATTGAATTTTTTCTTTTAGCACTATCTATCTATTTGAACACATAAATATTGGTACAAAGGAGCACCGAATAGATATACGACACACAAGTCACTTGGTTTGTGTGTGGGCTGTGATACTGCCCGGGTGCCCAAATCGAAGCAGGTGGTTTTCTTAGGGAGCACACCCGGAGCCTTCGGCCTAAAGGTCTGATCCACAAGACATTGGAGCAGCGTATGGAGATGCAGTCCCATGGTAGCCGGTGACCAACTATTGGCTTATATGCCATATGTTTTTTCAAGATCTTGAAGCCCATGTGCACCATTGGTTTGGAACCAGGGTTTTCCAACTTCCCTAGTTGTACCTCTATATCCACTAACCCTGTTAAAGTTCCAGACATTCTTTTCGTCCTCTCAATTCCTTAAACAACACCCCCGCCGCGAGAAGTTAGTGAGTAGGACTTCCCTAACAGTGTTTGTGTGCACGTGGCCATGTGAGAGCATTTCGAGAGGGTTGACTCTCCCCACTCTCGGCCGTACCAGGGTATTTGGGGGCTGTTATCACTTAGCATTTGCCACTCAACTTCACACACAGTTACATCTTTGGATGATTTTTGTACAACATTTAATTAATCTTAACTAATACTTTGTTGTCAATTTTTACTTCCTTTTTAGTACTCCAAAAATATCTTTCTACTCGAACTACCCGTCTGTTTCATCTTCCCATGTTCACAGACCTGATTTATACGGAAAACATGGCCTAAGCCAGAATTCTCAAACAAGTTCCAAGATAAATTCTCATAATTTAACTTTGAAAACTTCTTGTGAGTGTTTATTCTTAAACTGATTACCAGTTTTATCATTGATATTTGTGTTTATTTTGTGCGTTTTCGAATTCCGATACTTGATACATATGCCCAACCATCTACTTGATGGTGAGAAGAGTGCGAAATAACCGAATCGATATGTGTTGTCGGAGAACTACTCTTAATAACTGTAGAGAAACGACATATTCTTTGTTCTTGAAAATGTCATTATCATTCTTGCACTTCTCTTAATCCCCCTTCTTCCCCTCACCATGATTATCTTTATTGAACTGAATCGATAACATGACTAGAAATTGACTAGTTCGGACAACAAATAAACTATTTTTGTCTGGGGTTCTCGTTTTACTTTCAAAATAAATACTTTGTCCATCTAAACCCGTAGGATCACGAGTAGCTACTGTCAAAGTTTCTCAATGTCTAAAACGTGAATCTCCGTGAGTTAAGTTTATGACCACCACGTTTTGATACCCATAGTATTTGGGATTCTGAAGTTCTTTGTAGCGATATTTTTGTGTGAATTCAACAATTCAAAGCCTCAGTATACACATAATTTGAAAGCACAGACTATGAGTGAAAGTTCGTTATAACTAGTCGCCATATGGACAAGGAAAGAGTTTGTAAGTTTGATAGGAAACATAAAGGACAAGAGAGAGTTTGTTGTTATTATGAATTCTCTTATTACGACCTAACTACTCTTATTGATTATCATTGGACATTACTTCACTTAACAAGTCTCCAAAGTATTCGTATAGTAGCGGACTCAATTGGTAAGGAAGGGAGAGAAGCCACCGAATTGAGAACCAGTAAGGACCTATCAATGACTTAATGTGCTAGTGCTGATTGGCATATAATCGGTTAGCTCAGGGATAGAGCCATAGGAATCGGTATTCTAATTGGTGGTTTTATTACGTGATGTTAGACAGCAGGCTACAAGTTATGACAACATCGAAGACACGTCCAGACTTAACACTGCTATTATTCAACTGTCCAGTAAAAAAAAAATTAATCTGTTAATCATTTGTGTATAAATTTCATTGTTTGAAGACTACAGTGTGATCACCGGTAAGCAGCTAAGTTGAACAATTTGAATGTTCACTGTGTTTGATATTCAGTATTCTACCATAAAAATATCCTTTACAAACTAAATTCGTATTTTATGGTTCAGTCTACTACGTTGGCATCCTTTAGTTTACATGTCTAACTCCAGTCAGGTCACAATGGCTTCTCAAAATCAGTCACTAGTTAGCACATGATATAGTTTACGAGTGATTGTAAAAACTGTTAAATTGCGTAGTCAATATCGCAGATTAATCTGAGTTAGACAACCATAAAGTACCAGGAACTACTAGGCAACTGTGTCATCCTCGATGGCGTAAACTATGAAAATTCAATCGTTCCTGCAAACCACTGCATTCCCTCCCCTCTCCTTCCCCTATCTAAACTAATTTCATATTTAAATTTGATTATCATTAATCAATATTATTTGACTGTTTTGTTTTATAGCGTGCAACACAAATCACCATCGTCGTTCAAAAAATCAAATAGAAACCAAAACAGCTATACATCTAATTGAAAGGGCTTTAAAAAATTTGGAAAAAACACCAATCGATGGTATAGCATCATTAAAACCAATTACAAATGGTCATACTAATCCTTATTCTGATGTATTAATATTAAAATCAACGAATCTTGTAAAATGTGACAAGAATAATCGAGTTCATTATTCTACATCGTCACCATCTATATCGTGTTCTAGGCGAATAACTATCAGAAAAACACATGATAACAATACAAAAAAACTACATGCACTCCCTCGTCATCATCGATGTAATGAATCAAATGATCAACTGATCCATAAACGTGATTTTATTGCACATCCTATTTAACATTAGACATTTTCATGTAGTGTATATGTGTGTTGGACTGTTCTTCTTGTGATTTCATCCTTTGTTTCCTTTCCATGAAGCATACTACGTAAATGTGTGTGTGCTTGTCTTTTTGTATAGCCATATCACCTAGTTCCATTAATCTGTATTTTTATTTTACCTTGTTCACTTATAGTTTATTCTTATTGAATAGAATTGGTTCATGCTTTATATAGTATATTACTAATCAATGTCAGTAAACAACTATGTACACAGCTTTCTTCAAATTTTATTTTGTTTCTATCAAAAAATATATCTTCTTTTCAATAAAGTAATGATTAATCAATTTTCTATAATCTATACCTAAGATGTAAAGATCAGTAATATTAAAGACGTTTGATATAAAAGGCTTAAAACTAAACCCAATTCATTTGGAGAGAGATAATGAATGACCTATCGAATTGATATTCATATCAGTCGTTCATAACACTTGGTCCATATTCAGTCAGTAACAACGTAGAAATTCGTACGTACATACATCAGTTCGAGTTGCCACACCACATTAGCACAAAGATGCAGTTGTCGATTCAAATCCCGTTGTGCTAGATGTAGTAAAATTATAAGCTGTAATCAGAAAAATTAGGGTTTGAAGATGTTATTCAAGGAGTATAATCCAGTGAAATAAATTTGGAAAGAGAAAAACGAAAGGGACATGAAGAATTCAGATTAGAATTTGGGAGAACACAAGGAGTGTATGCACTTGCGCCATTGCAAACGATTTTGAGCCATGTCACTCAGGGTCTCTAATCATCGGTTGCTATCATCTCGTGGTCCCCAACCAGGTAGTCTACACCTACCAACATGACTCAGACCACTTGTCAGTAACTTCATGGATTTGTGCCATGTTTTTGGTTTGGCTGCCCCTAGCTTTCTTCCAACCTACACCAGAAAACATCGCACGTCGAGGCAGACGGTGGTTGGGCTTACGTAACACGTCCCAGCCATCTCAACTGATGAAGTTTCACTACTTCACCAATGGATTTGCCATCCTTACCTAGTACCCATTTCCTAACAATTGCGTTTCTTACTCGATGGTTCCAGGATATAAGTGCAATATTTCGAAGACACCTATGATCAAATACTAGTAACCTACGAATATCCTCTACTCTTACCGGCCATGTTTCACTGCCATAAAGTAGGACGGGACGAACTGCTGCGCAGTAAACGCGTCCTTTTGTTGATAGACGGATATCTCGCCTACGCCATAAATGACGCAAGTTGGTAAAAGCTAGTTGAGCCTTCTGTTGTTGCTTTTCAGTCAATGATTTGTGTATAAGTATATCATTTTATTATTTTTTTTTAAAGTTTGTCGCTCTGACTAGTGGTCATATGGTTGATTTCAAACCTTTGATGGGGTTGAAGCTTACGTCAGTAGTTCGGTTTCGTGATGTGAATAGGTGTCACACCTCATGTCATTCTATTTCATCTATCGATAGGTGGATTCTTCCATCTTAACAATTGAAAAATTAGTCCGTAAAATTATTTTAAAAAAACTAATCCTAGAAGAGATGTCAGTTATAATTTATGGACAAAATGAATAATTATTTTATCAGGTATTTCATTCAACCAGGGTGTTTGGTACCTGTGTGGTTGCGCCGCAGGATTGAGCTGTACTACTCAGATTGTAGCGTTAAAGCTTATACGGTGTCTGGTTCCCCTGCTAAACGCGGTTGAGCTGTACTGTTTGGGTTGTCACGTGAAAGTTCAGATGGTGTCTGGTTCTCCTGAAAACCAATGTAAAATTACCCTGGCCCACAAGGGTATATTATATATACATATATTTCATTCAACACCTTTTTATCTTTAAATCTAGTTTACAATCGATTCCGTCTTGATTTGAATTCTTCAGTCATTTACTCTGTATCATTGGTATTTTAAGTAGTCAATCAAACTAATTTGATGGTTTCTGTCAATCTACTAAGGGATTTTTGTTGGCGATTATTCGACTGCTAAGAATTAATGAATAAAATCTTTGTATTATTATTGACAACTTTCTACTCGATGTAATCTCCAAGATTTATTATGCTATAACTTATAATAAACGAAAAAGATCATATTTATATATGATGTACGATTTTTAATAGTTGTATAAAACGCTTGGTGAAATACTTAAGATTTTGTCAATGTTCCTTTATGAAGCTTAAGATAGGGACAAGTTAGATATTGTTAGTTTGAATATTTTAACTTAATGACTAGTGATCGAATTCAGTGAATAAATTAATGTAGATTAAAATATGGTCAGTTATTAATATCACTGTGAATGAAAACGGTAATATTTCCTTATACTAGTCGCCCTATTTTTGTAGACAGTAATCCTGATATTTGACGTTTCTTTCAAATCATATATTTCAATTTATGGTAAGTAATTAATGCATATTACTTTTAGTCAAGGGGGACTGCTTCAGTGTTTAAATCATTGGATGTTCTCCATGTTACTTCTTGATAATCGATTATGAAACTATGATTGTTGACATTCAGATAGCAACTATTTTCCAAAATTTATTTTTAGATAGTTAACTAAATTTGACCGCGCTCAAAAAATCTGTTCAAATGAATACCTTGATGATGAAATTAATCTGATTACTAATGTTCTACGCGATAATGAATACCCATTGAAATTTATCCAGAAATATGCAAAAAGCAATCCTCATACAAAATACGATGGAGTAGAAAGAAAAAACTGTTTTTTTACAATTACATTTCAAAGGTGATGAAATCGCTGGAATAATCAATCACAGAATAAACTCTGCGTTGAAAGTCACCTACCCAGCAGCAAAACTTATGACAGTATGGCAAACGAACTGCTCACTTCAACAAACCAAAATCGACAAGCTCTCTTTTCTTAGTAGCTCCAACTGCATCTACCAATTTACATGTACGTGCCAAAGCACATACATTGGAAGAACTGAGAGAAGAGTGCATGTCCGCATTTCTGAGCATGTTCCAAAAAACTTGAGGCTGTGTGGGACCAGGGCTTTCAACAATGCAATAGCTCGACATCTACTTGACACCGGGCACACCATCGACATTCGTCATGCTTTCAAAATTATCAATAGACAAAGAAGTACGACCACCCTCCGTTTTGTTGAAGCTATTATGATCAAAAAACTTAAACCTGACTTATGCATTCAAAAAGAGACTTTAATTAACTTATCACTACCCTGGTAACCCTTTTTTATTTTATTTTATTATTTATTTATTTTAAAATATTTATACTTCTCTCCTATTACATAATTCTTAAACCACATTATTATCCACACATTTCCACCACCTGATCCTCTTAAATTATCTTAACTTTTCAAATTCTATTTAATTATTATTACGTAACCTATCTTATGATTATTCAATTTCATTATTACACCACCCAACCCGAATTAATTCCTTTTGACCTCTGACCTGTTCTAGCATATATATATATATATATATATATATATATATATATATATATATATATATATATAGTTATTATTGTAACCCAGTTATTTACACTCATCTATGTCATTTGTTTTCACTCTATCTCCATGTAAAAATTCTATCACATTTTTTGGTTTGTAAGCAGCTGACGAGAAACCTCGAAACAATATGAATTCATACTATTCTGCATCAATATTTGTTCTTGCTTTATTTAAATTATCTATGTTCTGTATTTAAATAGGCTAATTGATTTTGACTGCGTATTATCGCATGAATGAGTTGTCAGATTTTATAAGCTTAACAGGACTCTTTAAAGTTAAATACTTGTGATGTAAACTTGGTCGTTGCGTGTAAACAGCATTCGTTAATCTCCACTTGTTACAAATTTTCATAATAATAAATACATCTTTAAAAGGTGTTTTACGACAACAGATAAGATTTTGGTAGTTAGCCTGATACATTAGATTTCCTTATGGTTGTACGTTTAGTAATAATTAACAGTTCTATACGAATCATTGGTAAACTGGAAATGAACTAGGAAATCATTGAAAACCTGAGTTCAGAGAATGGATAATTCATTCTCATTTAAAGATTCTGTATCATTGACCATACTGTCAATCGGAGTGGATTGTGAATAAAAAAAATTCAAGTGGCCTCAAATCTGACTCCACTTATAAATGAGTAATCGAATGATTGCTGTCGAAATATGCATGTCACCAATTCTCGTATATAATCATCGACTTAACTCGCTTTGGTGAAGAGTAAAATTAACAACGAAAATGAATTCCGAATACGTACATTTCATCCAATCATTCATCCAGACAAGCGAGCGGAGAAGAGAGTGAAGCGAAATGACGCGCGGTGGAGAAGACATGTAAGCCAACTTGATTTAATCAAGCGTTAGTTGATATTTATAGTCAGATAAAAATAAGTTACACACATGTGATGAGTAAGATAGGAAGTGAACACACATACACTTACATAAAAACCATCAAGATTGACAACAGAATAGTCAACAAGGTCAAAATGTAGCTTGTAGAGAATGGTTAGGTTGGTTTGTCCAGAAGCTAGAATAAGCTATGTGGGCTCGACATAAGAACAGCCACTACACTGTATTTAACCTGGTGGTGATCTGAAGCTACGTCAGCTCCTCTCCCGGTTCTCACGTCTTTTTAGTGATGCATATCTGATTCTCTGTATTGTGATTCGGTGAGACCCGTGTAGCCTTGTGTATGTGTTTGTGTGGGAATGTTGTGCCACCTGTAACCATTTTGTTGAATGTACACAAATTTTCGAATCTCTCACCATTCTCATACCTTTCACTTTATGTTATCTCATCATATCTTCATACCTGGTATATCCATCTCGACTTTGGCGTTTAGGTCTCCCATCAGAATGGTCAGGTCCTTTCCTGAGCACTTCACTATGATCGATTGCAGCATCTTGTGAAACTGGTCTTTGTTGTCGATTTTGCTATCATTAATGGGTGTATACCATTGGGTACATTTATTGTGATTTCCTCCTTTGTTTTGAAGGACGCTTTGATGATCCTGGATCCATGGGATTCCCGTCCTATAAGTGTTTTATACGCTGCTTTGGACAGCATCAGAGCAACACCCTGAGTGGGTGGAGCATTTTCTTCTTTGTAATCAGAGCATAGTAGCATCTCTTTCGAATCCATCCTTTTCTGTCCGGTTTGGGTTGGATGGGTTTCACTGATTCCGAGTACTGCCA